TCTTTGATCAGCTTTCAGAAATCCCAGTACTTGAGCTTGATAATCTTAACTCTTGAGGCCCTATGTGAACTACTCCTTTTTGGTAATCCACAACAATATTGCAAACAAATTGATTTTGGAGGCAACAATATCATTCATTTTGTCAACTGATGACGAGAGCTTGTTTTAAGCCCTCAAACAGGAAGGGACCAGCACCTGAAGATCAATGAAATTTGATAATCGCATGGAAGAGTGCTATAAATTATCAAAAAAGCCTTTCAAACACGCCTCGCCAACTATTTGCTCATTTTTCTCGACTGGCCTAGCCAACCCGGAGAAAGCAGATCACAGCTTTTTTGCTCATGGATCAAGCGAAAAGTCCATTTCAGATAATTGTAAAATGGCGTTTACGAGAGAATTCGTTGCAATTAGCAGCAGATAATTCTTGGCAGAAACTCAGGAATGTCGAAGATATTTTCTCTTTGATGTGGAAGCTTCAGAAAGAAATTGAACTGAAAAACATAAACGTTATTAATCCAAGGACGCACAGTGTTCACAGACAGGTCAAAGGATTGCCTTTAACTGTATTTTAGATCTAATTTCCTTTCTATTCTAACATGTAACTTAAATCATTAATTTTCACCTGCATTAATTCGTAGATGCCACTGACCAATCCATTACCATAATACCCTCTCAATGTCCCCTTTTATTTTCAGTCCCTTTTTGATTCGTTCTTGCTGACAAACAAAATTACAGCTTCTCACTTGACATGTAAATGTTCAATCAATCTAATCATTGATCAGTGGCATCTTCTAGCACTTTTTATCCATTAAACTTTTATTTCATTATTTCTTGCACTCTGAGCATTATACCGATACTCGGTCCTGCTCAGTATCGATGTAGATGTAGATGTAGATGTGGAAATATTTGGCTTTCAAAACGTAGGGAACTGTCACCAACTATAATGGCGACATGTTTCGGATTATTGGTAAAGCCCGATCGTCGTTCCATCTAGCCGTTTTGGAATCTATTTTTCCATAAGCACGAAAAAACTGCTACTGTGTAGACAAAAGGAGTTCGCTTTCACCTTAGGACTCCCTTGGTAACATTCTCAATAGGCAAGCGGCACTGATTGGTCAACCTCAACAGTCATGTGCTCGTGTTTCTGATTGGCCTATTTTGATCCACAACTGGCTATCTTTATTTCCTAGCGTAGAGTTTTCGGTCTATGTTCTGACGTTTTAAACTCTGAAGAGTGTCAGACGAAAAGCTTTAGTTTACTAAATTTTTTTTTCAGAACTCTTCAAGCCCTATACAGAATATATTTATATATAGAATGAGAGAACTTTATTGAGATAAAATGAAAGACTTACGAGAATGGGATAAGATGATTTCATATGTCATAATTTGCACTTTTTAATGATTGGGTTTGTTTGCTATATATGAAAAGAGGCTTCGTCCATTGTTATCCATTTTTGATAAACTTGGTGAATATATGTAAATTTGTCTTGTTTATTATTTGGCATAATTTATAGCAGGAATTTCACTCAAATCTTGCAACACTCAGTAAGATTATGTCCTGCTGTAACCAGCCAGAGGAATTTATTAAGGTCCTCTGTTTGGCAAGAAATCGAAACCATTCTTTTAGAATTCATAATGATAATTCCTGGTTTGGTTTACAGATCTATCATTTCACTTGCCTTGGAATCATGATGAAATAATATATCTTGTTAAAATCAAATCTTTCAATTGTGAATTCTATTTCGTCATCGGTCCCAGCTCCCTACAGAGCTGCACGAGATAGTGTGCCGCAGTGCATGTGAACCAGTTGTGTGCAAATGCTTGTGTTGCCAGCTGTGTGTAATTACAATTTGTGGTTGCTTTAACGAGTTTTTGCAGAGCCTACGTTTCCCGACAAACTTTCTGGAATTTAATCTGCTCAACTGTTTGGTTTATCTTAGCCAGATAAGTATTTCATATCTCTTCATTATCATTTCATTATCTCATAGATGTCTGCTGAAAACAGCGAAATACGGGACTTGGCAGCTAGTCAAGCTTCCATTTCCGAGACCATTTTATCTAGGCCTGTTATGCCAGAACATTCAAGGGGCACTTCTGATCAACCCCTTAATACTGATCTACTTTTTGTTCTACAGAAAATGAACGACACAATCGTCTCATCCAATCAATTACTTTCCAAGTTTGTCAAAAACTATCCTAAACGTCGTTCAGATCACAGGCCCTCAGACTCTGATTTTGACTCTGATTGTGGCGAGTTTGAAGAACCTCCCAGAAAACGAAAATTACTTGCCACGGCCACTGTGTCTGTAGCGCCAAATAGGCAACAAAATATTTCAGATGTGCCTACCGATAGTCCTGCACGCTCACCCGCCCTTTCTACAGCCGGGCATTTGCATGAGACTCGTCCTTCAGCAGACGATGCAGTGAGTCTCTTTGGTGAGCAAGACATTGACGAAGGAGTCAATGACATTGAAACCCTCATCTCTCAAGATGAATTCTTAAATGAGGTAGAGAATGCTGTTGCTACAGCAAAACCAAAAGGTCCACCAATTTCCGAACATCTGGCAAAGATTCTCAATGACAAATTTCATATTGAGCTTGAGGCCTCGCAGCGCAAAACTCTTCTCGAAAAGTATTCAGTGCCAGAAAACTGCACGGGCCTATATCGCCCGCGAGTTAATCACGAAATCTGGAATTGTTTGAGTGCCAATTCTAAAGTAATTGACAAAAACATGAGTTTATTGCAAGATGCACTATTGACAGCCTCGAGTGCTGTTGCCATGTCCATTGAGGACATACTTAAGTATCGCGAGACAAAAAAGGACCTTGATTACCAGAGTATGGTTTCTCGCCAGATTGACATTTTAACCCTTCTTGGTTATGTCTGTAGTGAACTTTCATATCGTCGAAAAGAAAGTTTACGCCCCTCGATCTCTCCTGAATTTAAGGCGGCATGCGGGCGTACCACCAAACCAACTACCTTATTATTTGGTGATGACCTACCTAAAACTATGCAGGAAGTTCGCACTACTAACCGTATTCTTCAAAACTTTCCCTCAAATCGCTATACCCGCCGAGGTGCATACACCCGTTTCCAAGCTGACCGTAACAACAACAATTCTTTTTTATTGCAGCGGGGGAGGAATCAATTTCCTCCCCGCCGAAATCCATATATCTTAAATATCGTTTCGGGTGATATGATCGAATTTGAAAACCCCCCGCCAACTCAGCATAATTATCCGGCTAACACGATCTCGCGAGACTTGCTACCTGCAGTACACAAAGAAATACAAGATCTACTCTCTAAGAAGGTCCTCTCTAATGTAACACATGAGAATTCTGAATTTATTTCCCCTATTTTTTGTGTACCAAAACAGGATAATAAAGTGCGCCTTATCCTGAATTTGAAAAAACTTAACTCATTTGTCTCCTATAAACACTTTAAAATGGAGACTATCCAACATGTCTTGACCATGATTACGCCTAGTTGCTGGATGGCATCTATTGATCTGAAAGATGCATATTATAGTGTGAAGATTCATCCTGGTTACCAGAAATTTTTGAAGTTTACCTTTCAGAATCAGCTATATGCGTATACTGCTTACCCAAATGGGCTTTCCTCCTGCCCCAGGCAGTTCACAAAATTACTAAAACCCCCTATTGCTACATTAAGGTCACAGGGGCACATTGTTTCTAACTATATCGACGATATATATATTCAAAGCAACTCATACGGTAGCTGTGTAAATTCCATTCTGTCTACCTTCCAACAATTCAACAATCTTGGGTTTGTTGTCCACCCGGACAAATCTGAATTCATCCCCAAACAAAAAATACAATATTTGGGTTTTATACTGGATTCTGTATCTATGACAGTCACATTACCAAATGCTCGTAAACACAAGGTCAAGGGGTACCTGGAGTTACTGTGTGTTAAGCCAAATAACGTTCTTATCAGGGACGTCGCTAAAGCTGTGGGTTATATGGTATCGTGCCTCCCCGCTGTTCCGTTTGGAGGCATTCATTACAGACACCTTGAAGATGAAAAAATTAAGGCCCTAAAAATCTTCCAATGGGAATTTTGATACAACTATGTCCATAACCAAACTTGCTCTTGCTGAACTTTACTGGTGGGTTTAAAACCTAGATAGTAGCTTCGGTTATATTAGACTTCCACCTGTTCAAGCTACCATTTTCTCAGATGCTCCCCCCCTGGGTTGGGGAGCGACGTTTAACGGTGTTCCTACAAATGGAACATGGCTCCCCTCTGAAATCATTTACCATATTAACGTTCGGGAGCTTTTAGCTGCATACTTCGCCCTAAAAAGTTTCAAATCTGCAATTAAAAACAAACATGTTAAGCTAATGATCGACAATACCACTGCTGTCGCTGTTATCAATCATATGGGCACTAATCATAGCAAAGAATGTAACTCTGTTGCAGTCAAAATTTGGTCCTTTTGTTATGAAAACAATCTTTGGTTGACAGCATGTCACATTCCAGGCAAATCTAACATTATTGCTGATAAGGAATCAAGAAACTTTCTTAAACAAGATGCAGAATGGATGTTGAACTCAAATGTTTTACAGAATGCATTATCTAGCTTGCAATTTAAACCGGACATTGATCTTTTTGCCTCAAGGCTTAATAGTCAGTTTGATAAATACTGCTCACTTAGGCCCGACCCCGGTGCTGAGGTAATAAATGCTTTTACCTTCCCTTGGAGCAATCTAAAGTTTTATTCCTTCCCTCCATTTAGCTGCATTCTCCTTGCCCTACAAAAAATTCAACAAGATCAAGCAACCGGAATTCTTGTAACCCCAAACTGGCCTACTCAACCGTGGTTTCCCATTCTCAAAAAGATGCTGTGTGCCCCACCTGTCCATCTAAGACCAAGAAAAAACCTGTTGCGGTTACCAACAATGCCTCAATTACAACATCCGCTTCTCCACAAACTGCAGTTAATGGTTTGTTTAGTATCTGGGAAGCCCTCTCATTGCAGGGTTTCACGACCCCCTCTGTAGATATCATTATGGCTTCGTGGCGAGATTCAACTCAAAAACAATATGCTACTCATATAAAACGCTGGGTTGACTTTTGTACTCGACATGGCTGCAATCCAGTTCAACCAAATGTATATAATGCTGTGCTCTTTCTAACCTCGCTTTTTGAATCCGGCCTCTCGTATAGCTGTATCAACACCGCTCGTAGTGCACTAAGTTCCATATTAAACTCTAGTAATGATGAAATATCTTTTGGAAACCTCCCGATTGTCAGACGTTTTATGCGAGGTGTCTTCCAATTGCGCCCCACATTTCCGAAGTATAACTCTGTTTGGAGTGTCCATACTGTGTTTGATTTCATTCGCTCTTGTCCGTGCGTGGAACAACTGACTCTTAAAGACCTTACTCTTCGATTAACTTTTCTCCTATGCTTGCTGAGTGGTCAAAGACGACAGACAATTCAAGCCTTACGTATTGATGCAATGGAAGTTACCACTTCTAGCTACGTCTTTTACATTGTTCATCTGTTAAAGCATTCTCGTCCAGGCCATCATCAAAAACCACTTCGATTTGAAAAGTACTGCGCTGAACCAAAGCTGTGTGTGTATACCCACCTAGCAGAATACCTTAAACGAACAGAAAAGCTACGTTCTGGAGTTCATCAGTTGTTGATAACTCATACAAAACCGCATCGCGCTGCTGCAGCTGACACAATTGCACGTTGGAGTAAAGCATTCCTTGCTCTTGCAGGAATCGACACAACTATGTATAAATGCCATAGTATTCGGGCCGCATCCACGTCACAGGCTGTGCGTTCCAATAGCAATCATTTGGCTGATGTTCTGCAAGCTGCAGGGTGGTCAAACGAACACACTTTTCGCCGTTTCTATAATTTGCCTGCTGAAAATAATTTTAATTTTGGAACAGCATTAATTTCCAGTTAATATGCTTTCTTATGGTTTCTTTTCCAATTAATATGCTTCCAGTATCGATTTACATGCAATGGCGCCTCTTCCCTTTTATACAATCATAGTAGTTAACCCTTTGATGCTTGTTCTAGTTTTCTACGTAAATGTCTCAATGACTGCTCTAAAATCTCGTGCAGCTCTGTAGGGAGCTGGGACCGATGACGAAATAGAATTGTAAAATTAAACGAACCTACCTGTAGGTGAAGTTTGATTGTAATTCTGTGAGTCATCGGTCGCGACCGGAGGAGCTGTACGCCCTCCCAGTATTTCATTGACCCCGCCCAGTTCCTCCTGTCGCTTGTCATTGATCCATTTTACTCTCTCAAGGCTGGTTCACATGCACTGCGGCACACTATCTCGTACAGCTCCTCCGGTCGCGACCGATGACTCACAGAATTACAATCAAACTTCACCTACAGGTAGGTTCGTTTAATTTTACAATTTTATCAAAAAGCGAGAATTGGCGTCGCCAGAAAATATGGGACCACGCCCATATTGGAAACCACTCAAATTTTTGTCTAGATCCGCCACTGATGGTGCAAATAAAGTGAGTTGTTTTTCTCCTTAGGTTTTGATTGATAAAAAAAAAGAAACGTGAAAGCAGTTCTCATGAAAAGCATTTGTCAAGTAACTTCAAATGAAGGCCTCTTCTTCATCTCAATCCTCAATCTGCGTTTGAGGAATGAGGCTGGGCGTAGATAACATAATGGCGGCTAGTGAAGGAGGAGAAACTGTGACTTCTGGTAGCTTGCCCGCAAAAAAGAGACATAGAGGAATTCCTGAAGCAATTTTCTTGGTATTTGATAAAACTTTTTTTTCTTTGCTAGAACATTCTAAGTTTTATGGGGGGTTATTATAGCTTTGCAGCTTCAACGGCCTCGACCCTATTTCTACGCGTACGGCCTACACGGACTTGGCAATTGGTTTTCTGTGGATTGCGGCTTTTTACTGACATGCGAGCATTTTGTTTTTTGTTCCGCTGAAAGCTTTTCCATCGCGGCAGCGTCTTTTCGTTTTATTTCATTGCGGAGTGCAGCTTTTGCCTGCCTTTTGCACGATTTTGCGGTATTAAGACCTTTTAATAGGCCCCTTTTATGTACCACTCATGATATTGCTGAACTGAACAGACCACAGTGCGTTTCGAGCAGAGGCACTTATGCCAGAGAGCGATCTTCATTTTTTTTATGCCAGTGTTTTTGCCGAAGATTTTATTGTTTTAATGACACCGATAATATGGGGACCAGACTGGAAACTTTGCTTCTTGCGCGGGCAAGTTTATTTTGAAAATTTGAGACTGCGCGCCTGAAATCATGCACTCTTAGTTATTTTTATTGTTAATAATGTTAAATCCTATTGTCAAGGGATCTAGGGGATTTTGCGCGGCCAATATGCAAAAGCGCGCAGAGGTGTGCGCGGGCAATATATTGCGGGCGCGCAGCAAAGTTTCCAGTCTGGTATGGGGACCCAGCTCAAGGAACAAAATAATACGACGACAAGAATCCAATGTCATGAGATAACATTTTCAAAATAAATTAAATTTAAGAAATATACTAATATTTTGCCCCGGCATACAAGGCTTCATCAGAGTAAAATGAAAATAATTTCGTTGATAAGTTCTTTTTAACTTTCATGATCATGCTGAACAGATTTCGGATTGCTACCAACGTTAGCTTGCATATGTTCAATATTTCAGTCAAGGAATCAATGATGTCTTAAATTCAAGCTTAGATGTGGGAACCCGGAGGCACAGTGGGCACTAATCCCCTTTTTTCCAAAATTCAGTTTTCCTGCCCCTTTGCAGCTCACCGAGTTGCTCCTTTTGCCAATTGCATAGTCAAAAAGTGCCCTTGGATTGCTTAGGTGCTATAGGAAATGAGCAAAGGTATGCCCTTTTGGGGCGGTGATCTAAAAACTTTTTTTATTTTCCTCGTTAAATACTAGTGATCTTTACAAGAAATGCGTATGCAACAATAGTAATATTTGATTTAAATTATATTTAGTGTTGGTAATTTAAATTAGTTGGTTTTATCTAGCTATAATGTAGCTGCAGATTGTGCCAGCAAACTTTGACACCCCAGGGTGCCCTTCTGCCTGTCCTGCCCCTGCCGCATCATGAAGCTTCCGGCACCTCTGTGTGAGCTTCACATGGATTCTAGCCTGGCCGCAGGTGGCTGAATATGAATTCTGTAGTCTATACAGGAGTATCAGAAAAACACTTACTATATTAATCGCTCTTCAAATCAATCTGTCAAAACACCAGCCATCAGTCTGCAGAGCATGGCATGTGGAACAAGGTTTTTTCAGGGGCTTGTCTAATGCACTCAAAAACATAGGAATGCCCACACATTTCTGGTTACAGAAAATCATTCTAGTGCAACCCTTTTTAGCGTTCATTAAAACCATTTTACTTAATGAGAGTTGGCCAGCATCAGAACCATCTGATTGTTACAAGTTGAAAAAGTTGTTGTCAAAATTATGTTGTTAATTTTAAGGCCAAATCTGGTCTTTTGTAAAATCAATGGGAAAGGCATAACCAAGTTAGAAACAATGTTTTGTATGACCAGATCATTTTTTTCTGATGATTCTCCAGGCTTTGGCCAGAAACGCGTGAGATTGCATGCACCTGCTCTAGCACATGCCTACTGCTTTCCAGGAGTGCGAAATATCACACACCTTTTTTTATCATTAGATCAAATTACAACCAAAAATAGCCATTACAACCAGATGAGCGCCAAAGCAACAATGACTCTGCTAAGGTTATTGAAGCAGATGTTAACTGCTTATGACATGGCAAACATTTTTCTGTAATTGCAGTACCATGTTTTTGCTGATATATTAAATAAGCTCAGTTATACTTGTGTAGAAAATTGCTTAAGTCTTCAGAAATATCACCTTTTCTGAATACCTTTGAGCTATTTTTCTCAAAAGCGCCTTACACTTCTTATAAAAACAAGGGAAACGCTAATCAGCCATTCCATAGAAATGACACATATTGATGAAAAAAATATTTTGGAATTTGAATGTGAAAAGTTGCTTTTAAGTGGTAAAATACCTTGCTTAAGCATATTTATGATTTTATTTCCCAAAAATTGCTGATAATGGGCGTGGCTATGGCTATACCTGACCTTACTATTGCTAAAGGTCATTGACAGACACTTGTACCATTTTAAGAAAAAAGCTCTCATTATTGACATAAATGAGATTTTGTGGTTATTTTCATGTTTGTTAGTTCCTTTTACATGAGAGAATGTCTATGCAGTCAAAAAATTTTTTTTAAGTAATGAATAATTATGTAATGCCACACTGAAAAGACCCTCTCTGAATGGTCACACGAGTCACAATTTTTATAAGAAAAGTACTCTCATTTTGTTCCCTTTAATTCTTGTTTCATTAATTGGAGCATAGTTTGGCTTTCAAATGAAAGTCCATGCTGACCTAGAAACTGAAATTGATCAGCCCAGTAATTTTCACAAAAAATCACCCTCAAGTTTTGTCACGCGAGTCACAATACATCGGTCACATTAGACTAATGGGTTGGATTTAGGTCTAGACAATGTCAAGGAATTAATTTCTTTATTTGGGTACCATATATCAGTTATAGACATGAATAATACTCAATGATATGGGAGAATACTAGTTTCTCATGCAAATGAGGCTGTAAATCTCTTTTCCATGTTGGTACCCAGTGCCAATGAAGTTGAGAAAATACTAGAAAGCTATTAAGGTGGAGACATATCATTTCCCAAATTGATTGAGCCCAATAAAGGTCATTGGTATGCTGTTTACTGGGAGCCAGCAGACTATTGGTTCCTGGGGCATGTAGTGAGAATTGACTCAAATGATGATGTCACAATGGAATTCCTACATCAGACTTCAGCTGATGCAAACAATTTCAAGATAAAAAATTATATTGAGTCTGTCTCTGTTTCTGATATCATTGTAAAAGTTTATGCCCCTATGCCAGTCTCATCATCGAGGTGCTCAAAAGTAAAGTTGACAGAGCAAGACTTTGCAAAAATAAAGGAAGCCTTTGATATGTTTCATGAAAACTGAAAAATAATTTTTAAAATACCAGATATGCCAAGCTATTGATTTGATGGCCTTTATGTATCATTTAGTTCTGTGAAAAAGTTCTGATTTTTATGTTACACTTCCAGACACTGATTTAAGCTGGGTTTCCTTTAGTTAACTCTCACTTGTCACGCGAGTCACATTTGTGGGTCACACGAGTCACATTGCATTGGTCTTTCTATTTCAAAAAGCAAAAATACCTCAATTGAAATTTTCTACTTATATGGTGACTCAATGAGTAGGGGCAATCTTTTTAAAAGCTTCTTCATAAAGGTTTTGAAATTTCTCAGATGAAGTAAGATAGGCAACTGCAAGTAAAGACTTTCAAAATGTGATGGTCACACGAATCACACCAGATGAACAAAAAAATTGCAGAGGTGAGCAAGTTTTTTTGGAACAAAACATTGCCAAGATAAAGAATGGCTCAAGGGGATTCTATTATTGTATCACAAGCTTTGGAAAATAATTCTGACTTTACTAGACAACTAAATATGTGTGTGACTCTGTCACGCGAGTCACTATGGAATGGCTGTAAATATAGATTATATAATACAAATTTAATAGCAAATGGTGTGGAATATCTAAATGTCGAGCGCCAGAGACTTGCCAGAATGCCAGAATCTAGTTCTGAAAACCTGCCAAGATGCACCACTACTTAAATTTATACGAGATTTGATAACAGAATTTCAAGTTAAAATTAAATCAGAATCTTGCCTCTTTGGCTCCGCCACCACCAGAGGGTAGAGTCTCTTAAAGGCTTGGCTCTAGAAGTACGGAACTACAAGATCCAAGGTGTGCACAAACAAAGATTGAAGTGTGCAGTGTAGATTAGTCAGTAAGTATGCACTACAAGTGTGCGCAGCTAAGCGGTGGATTATTCACAACACTGTTTTGGGAACAATGGATCTAAGGCATAACGGACAAACATTCAATCATTATTATGCTCCATAGTTTTATTTGGTTTGATTATGACATGAAGATAGGAAAACTTTTAAGGGCAAGAAACTGAATATGGTTGAATGAAAGCAGGAAGAAAAGAACACAACTTTATGAATATGGTTGACTTACAAAGCATGACTCCATGTCCAGCATAGCATGATTCAACTTCGGGATAAAGTTTACTTTGAGGCCAGAGCATTGCAAAGTTTGGGTATGCAATTATTAAATAGCAATTTTGGAAGGAGGGTTGATTTAGACATAGAAAAAAGCAGGTCTAGATATATCCGTTTTTGGTTTTCAAAAAGTTCTAGCCAATACAACGAAGCGATCCATAATCGTTTAATTTGTTAGTAGAAGCATCACTTAATTTTGGTTTCGTTTTAATAGATATATAGAACTTTTTGAACAGAATTTTTAGATTCAGATTATGGGCCAGAATTTTAGTCTACATGCAAGTTTTCTTGATGCCATCTAGAATCATTTGTTGTTGTCAAATTTCTTATAAAATGCACGCAGAAACAAATTCAATGCTTGTCTTTGCTCACTAAAGTCAAACAATAGTGATTGAAGTATTTTCCAAAATGAGGCCTTGAATTGGTATCTGGAAACGCTCTTCCAGGATAATTGTAACAATGGATATGTGATAAATTTCTTGATAATTATTTTTGTTTTGTAGGAGGATGTAGATGATTACATGCAATGCCAGGAAGGTATAAGCACAGAGGGTGTGCTTGCCAAACTAGATGAGCAGTACCAGAAATACAAGTTCATGGAAGTGAATCTGGTTCAAAAAAGGCATCGGTATTCAATTTAATCTCACTCTATTATAACTTTGGCGACAGTAGAGAAATATTTGTTACTTTTCTCGCTACACTGGCCCCTCTCCATCCTTTCCTTGCCCTCACTACTACTAGTCCTGTTTTCTTACTTTTTTGACGCAGTACTCCTTTTCAAAGGAAATTTTTATTCATTGAGTTTAACGTTTTTTTCTTTTTTATACAGGCTACTCTTAAAATCCAGAAACTTGTGCTTCATGAAAAGATTCATTTGCATTTTCTCTTGCCATAAATTGCATTTCATAGCGCCTATGGTTAATACTAAAAATACAATTAAAAATCAGTTTCAAAATCTTTCATTTTCAACAAAGAAATCAGTGATATATGGAAATGAAACGTTCATGTCCCTCTGCAATTTTCATCAGAAAAAGAAAGATAAATGAAATGCGAAATTCATAATTAACCAAAATTCAATGATGGTTAAGTGGTTCGGCTTATTGAGAATTCGTTGTGCTAAAGATGCAACATGAAAGTTGGCTAGATCGGAAACTCTAGCAAGAAATTAATGAATATTTGTGATTAATAGTTTTCTAGAGGTTTGTTATATGTTATTCTGTCTATTCGCAGGCTAAAGTCACAAATACCAGACATAAAAACAACGTTAGATGCTATTGAATACCTGAAAGCAAGAACGGTATCATCATTTTTTAATTTTCCTAGTTCTTTGCATTGGATTATTTACAAATGAATAGAACACACTACAATTATTAATAACGGCACCAGACAACATAATTGCATTTCAGATTAACGCACAACATAATTGCATTTTAGATTAACACTTCTACGAAACATTTCCCTGATATGAAAATAAAGCGTGCTTAATTGAAGTTATCATCTTATACAAAATGTCGAAGAGAAAAAGAATGACCAGAGGAAGGTCCTGTGAAGGTTGTGAAGCATTTCAGTAGAACTTGAAGTTCTTCTTGGCAAGACAGGTTTCTTGAGAGGTTTTTCAGGAAAGTCACAATGTAATGAACTGTCAACATACCAAAAAGAAGTGACATATAAAGTTTTAATCCTAGTGAAGAACTATTTACCAGAGTAAAACGTTTGACAAATTAAACGTCATCGCAAACGAATTATGTAATTATGTATCCAATGCATTCAACCATTTGCTGGATAAATGTAGGTGGGATGAGTGTGGGATAGTTGTTTCATTAGTATTGCAGAGCGACAGTGGAAGACGATCATCCTAAATTTGTTTCCGAAATTTCTCAAGTTTTGGGGTCAAGTTGATTCAGAATTTTTTTGTTCATTTAATGCTCAAATAAATTGGTTTTCGTTATTTTTTGTGAAGAGTTTTCGCTGATCTGCTATCAGCGCTGCGAATATTGTAACAACAGCTTGTTTTATATCCGGTTTTTTATTATGCATACCATAAAGAATATTGGTCGAAAATGTTTGGGATGGTTTAAAAGATCAGCAAGTTGGGAGCTTAGGCATCAAATCTTGATCAAAAAACGCCCCACCTCCCTCAAATATCTCAATTTGTTTGGCTAAAATGATGGAGATTCCCGCTTTGACGACTCCTTTCGCAGTCGATTTGATGCCTATGCTCACGTTAGGATTTCTATAGGTTGTTCTATGGACTATAATGAATAAACATGATAATGGATAATGATGTATGGAAATTAGGAGACTCCAGAACACATAGTTCTTATAATATACTCAATTTTTGAATTATTTAATTCAAGCAATTCTGCCTTTTAAATCTTTTGTCATGAGAAGTCAGAAATTCCTTGTGTTATAATTGCTAGTTATTTTAAATAGCTGCAACTTCATGTATATGTGGTAGGCCTGTGTTGTTTCAGCCATCTGACTGCATAATTATATTTAGGATGCTCCTGAACCAGTCAACACCCAGTTTCTCTTGTCAGATCAACTTTATGTCAATGCAGTTTTGCCTGCAACAAAAACTGTTTGTTTATGGTTAGGGGTGAGTTTATTTCAACCGAAGTATTTGCATTTTATTTTGCTTTTATTCCACTTTATGGTTTAGGACTGTCATGACGTCTGTGGTAAACGGCTGGAGAGGACAGTGCTCACCCTGTTTAGCAACTGACAAAGTTCAGAAAAATTGGAATTTTTTCCTTTATAGATGCTAGAGCATTCTGTCAGCAAGAGTTAACTCTTTACCGACTCTTAAACTGGTCTCACTAACCAATTCATGGACTAAATGGTGCATGTTAGTCAAATGAAAGAAAGCAAAAAAATAAACATTTTCTTGTTGTTCTTGGATTTTCATTCTGCTCAGACATTCTGTTTCATTGTGTTATCTGAGCACACTCTGTCTATGCCTGGCAGTTCTTGAGTATTCTCTGCCTTTGTCAAAGTTTTTGAGTAAGAATTTGAGAGATTTTTCAAACGATGCTTATCTCTTTTGATCGAAACATGATGATTTTTAATAACGTTTGTGCTTATTATAAGGCTCTTTATGACTTCCTATGATTCTAATGTCAATCGAGAATAATATTTTAAGTTTAGTAGATGATAATTTTTCAATAGAAGAGGTTAGCTTTGGCCTTGCTTTAAGTTGACTGAAATTTGTACCATCTTCACAGAAGACCGCGACTTTTGCCTCCGCTACCACAGCTATTGCCTACAAATAAGTTATGCGAAGAATTGTTCAATGTTTTGATGTGTTTTTACTTGTTGTATACATGTTTTCTACAATTAACTTTATTTCAAAGTCACTAGAACGAAATCTACGGTGTAAAGCTATTTTAAAGTTTTATAATTTCGAGACTTGGAGTAAGCTGTTTCTTTAATTTATCTTCTCAGGGTCCTCATATAAGATTATCATTCTGTTGTTTCATTTTTTCAGGCCAATGTTATGCTTGAATACGATATCAATGAAGCGGAGTCATTGTTGACAAAAAATGTTGAGACGGCCAAAGAAAGTCTTGGTGAGGTGGAAAACGATATAAATTTCTTGAGAGACCAAATAACGACCACTGAAGTCAGTATCCTATTCAAAAGTCAGGCTTGCTTTTTATTTTAGATGTTGTGGGTTGCAATTTCAAAGGGCATTACTCTTCTTATTCATAAAATTGTACGAGTTTTCGAAACATAGGGTTTTTGCCAATGGACTGTTGGAAATTTTAGAATATCGATTGCCACGGAATTAGTCACAGAAATGATTCTACCACAGACTGGAAATCACCAAAAAGTTCACTCGTGTCGTCAGCTTTTGTTGCAAGTTCATTTGATTTCAAACGGGGGTCTTCCTCTTCCATACTATTACCGTTGTCAACCATAACTGTTGTTGTCATATGTTGTTTCTCGTCGCTTTGCGTTACTCTAATTCATTGTTTATACATAATGTCGTCGTCCTGGTGACGCATAATTGCTTATCTGTGGTTCTGCCACAAGAGACAATTAAGAGCAGAAATGTATTGAACAAGAGGTATCTAGCATCTTAAGTGATCTACCAAGTTAACAATGTAGAGGTTAAGAAATTAAGAAAGTTGCTTCATGGCAAGAAAGTTCGCTATTAAATGGAGCTCATCAGCAGTCAGTTATTTAGCTTTTGAACTCTGAAAATTTACTTGGTTGAAAAAGCTTAACCATATGAAGATATGGCCAGGGTATATAACTGGGATGTAAAAAGAAGACAAAAAGCAAAGTCGTCATGACGAAGATGGGAACGAGTTGAATAGTGCATTTGAAGGATTTACCTGCAGTTGTTATGAACGACAGCTATTAACACAAAGTTTTTGCTGTTGACAAGAAACGTGTATATGAATAAAGAATTCGTTTATGATTGTTTCAGTTTATGATTGTCTTTCTCTCTGAAGTAACATGGCTCCAACTCTAGAGTGGATAGGGCTTTCGGTTGCCTAATTCAAAGCATGCCTAGATTCTGAATTTTAAGCAAACGGCTTCGGCTTGCTCAAATACCGAGATAGAAGCATCCGGATACTTTTGGATCCGGTCCCAGCCAGTTACGCGGGATCCGACCCAAACAAATTTACATCAGTCTAAATCAGACGTTTCTACTACAGCCCCCCTCTGTCGGAAAAGGTTAGACCACCGTCGGAAGGTTAACTAAGAAAAGTTTAGGTTTTGTCGGAGCAAGATTTTGTATGTGCTCATTATCAAAAATTCGTGTAATCTTTCAAATTTCTTTGCAACGGTCAAAGTAAATTGTTTACAGTCAAAGTGACGTTTAGTAAACTGTTCACGATGCTTGAAATTTTCTTTGCTCCTTGGATTACAGACTTTGAGAAGGCGTTTTTAAAAGAAATTGACTCTCGGCCATTTTATTGGTAAAAGGTATATTTGGTCCTAGAGATATTTAAATAATCAACATTTTAGCGCGGACAACTAATGTGGATGTGGTTAATATAAAATGAATAAACAACATAACCCAACCTCGTCCTTGTAATATATCGCTACATCTTCAGTGTCTCTTGTTTTTTCTAATTTATCTTCTTCCCTGAAAGCATTTGTTGCAGTCCTTAGAGCAGTCCTAATACAGCGAAATTTGCATTGCTAAATCCTTGTTCTTTTACCATGTTAGCAAAAGCGGAAAAATTCATTGGGATATTGGCAAATTGACTAAGTATTATTTTTGAAGCATTTCCAAACATCTCCTCCTGTATCCTACCAAACTTTTCACTAATGAATAGGGGCATACCGGGAAACAAGGACCCAGGACGTTAAGGCAGGACCCAGGACCTTAAGGCAGGACCCAGGACCTTAAGGCGGGACCCAGGACCGTATATGTTTTCGACGATACACTCGCTGTTTACTTTATAAGAATACCAAGTTATAACATTGCATACCATGAACAATTGTCAATAAAATCCATGGAAGAAAAGACTCCACATCATATTAAGGGGGAATACTTCCAATGAATACAGAAATTAATCTGATTTTTATTTCTGGCCCTGTGTGAAAAACAAAAACTCGGGTAGCTTGTGGAAAAATGCTAATGTACGATTAAACCAAAGCAACGCCTTGAAATGTGAAATACTCTTATTTGCCTTACGTGGTTGTTTTAGGAGAGTTGGCTAGCACAGCAATTACTATTCTATAGTAGGATCGGGGTATCTTTGATGCACAAAGGAAACATCGTATCTTTACTAAGCCCACATCATTAACAAGCCGTCAAAGCGTAAGTAGTCTTGATATGTTTAAAGGCCCTTTCCAGCCAAAATTTGCAATTGCATTTTATTGATCTGAAGGATCATTAGTTGAACCTGCTGATCACGAATTCATTATTCGTTTTTCGATATTTTTTACAGTTTGTGAGATATAAGCTCTTGCATTTCGATAATTGAATTGAATTAACCGACAAAAATTTCTCGGTTTGGTGACACTGTGACGCAATTTTGATGTCACAATGTATTTCGTTAGTCTCGCCTCAAACCGAATCGAACGTCGGCGATTCACAAATTGAACCCCCCTGAATAGGGGCGCAAATGGAGATAAGGGGGCGCCAAAATTGTTTGCTTGTAATATTTGGCTAGGAACATAAAAAATGATCGTGCACGGGTAGAACACTTCGCTGTAACTTGTTGTGAACATCTTATAAAACGTGTGATTCTACAGTCGAAGCACGTTGCGCTGCCATGGCCCCATCAACATTTGTGTCATATGTTTTCGTATTAACTATGTACGTGGCTTCATGTTTAGCACGCCAACTAACGAAGATTTTACGTATGCCCAAAAACTTGTCTTTTAGTTTGCACTCGGAACGCCAAAAAGCCTGAGTGTACGCCAAAGATCTTCGGACCAAAGTACATGGAATGCACCCTGGCAATCAATACAGCAGCTTCTTGTTATTAACATTGATGTGAACCAAAGGTCACCCTTTTTTCCCCAGCGCATGAATCCTCCCCTCCCAAATTTTTTAAAATAATCAAAAATCAATGTTTTTCTAAGCATCGTCGAACTGTCTATTCTGAGTGATGTAGTAATTTGTTAAATTTTAGTCTGGGAGATGCATTTTTAGCCATTCTAGAAGGCTTGATTTCAAAAATTTTCTTCCGCGTCGGACCCAACCATGGTGGGTCCTCCTTTATCACTAAACTTGATCCTTAGCCCAACACCAGATTCAATTTTGTGGCGCAGCCTCTGTCCGATTCAATAGTGCGATTCAATGTTTTAATCTTTCAAGTTTTTGAAAGATCAACATCAAGTGACTGAATTTGAGTCGTTTTTGATTTCTTATTGAGAACCATGTTAATGGTTTTCCAAGTGTTTTTAAGATCACCTTGGGAAAGGGCAATCTTATTCGTAAAATATTCGCGCTTTAAATCTTTGTTTAATCTATTGACCCTATTTCTCATTTGTTTATAAGCATCCATGAAAATTTTGGACTTTGAGCGCACAGCTGCCAATTTCAACCTGTCTCTTGTAGCAGACAAACATTTGAAATCCTTCGTCAACCAGGGGCAAAACTTTTCTGAAACCCTCCTGCAGCGTAAAGGAGCATGTTTTTCTAGAATCAACGAGAACATATTTGTCCATTGCTCAACGATGAGGTTTATATCATCGGTATTTGAAACAATGCTTTTCCAGTCAATTTGTTGAAGATCACTAAGAAAGTTTTCTTCGTTGAAATTTTTCATTTGCCGAGTGGAAATGTTTTTGTGCTGTTTTTTAGCAGTATCTCTAAATCTTTTAACACAGTAGACCAAATAGTGATCACTTATTGTTGTCTCATAAACACCAGATTCTACAATAAAAGCTTTATTAGTTGTGGCAATATGATCAATCAGAGTGGCAGTTGTAAGAGTTTCCCTTGTACTTCTTTTGATCAACTGTTTTAGACCGAAACGATCATAAATGTCAAGTAAGTACTTCGAATGTGGTTGAAGGTTATCGGGGGTACAAGTATCCTCAGCCCCAGAAACTATTGGTAAAAAATCACAGTTTGTGTCGCCAAGGAGGATTATATCCCTGTTCTCCTTGTCGAGAACCTGTAAACACTCTTCCAGTTGACGAAAGATTTCAACTGACGCATCAGGAGGACGGTACCACGACATAACAAGAAACGGTGCAGCCTTCACAGGTTTCACCTCAATACAGATACCTTCTAAATTGGATAGAGGAAGGTCCGTCCTGACAGTGACTTTATCAAAAGATGCGTCTTTTATATACAAAGCTACACCTCCACCATTGCGGTTACGATCACTTCTTTTAATCGAATAGCCCTCAATACTGACAAGATCATTGTCTATTTTATCATCAATTTTAGTCTCATTAACGGCCAGAATATGAATCGCAAGGTCATTAATAAGAAGACGAATCTCGTCAATATGACGTAAAAGGCTATTCACATTAAAAGAAGCAATCGCCATACCCTTTTTGAAGCCTAGACTTGTAGTGCTGTTGGTGACATGATTGTGTAAGGGAGCTGATGCAGAGGTCTTCCCAGTGGCCGAGCAATCTCCCTCTTTATCTTTTACCTCAATCTTATTTAGTCAAAAATTTAATGCACGAAGTAAATTGTTAGAAAGAATGTTATCACCATGTCGGTTGAGATGGATCAGACTTCTGTTAAGATGTTGGTTGGCATGTATGTTGTTGTGTTCCAAAAAGGCAAAATCATTCTGAGAGCACAAGTCCTGGAGAACAAAGTTTACTCTCTTTCTCTTTGATTCATATCTGTCACCACGTGTTATAAGACCGGAAATAACGATTTCAATACCTTTATCACTAATTGACTTAGCCAGATTGATAATTTCCTCAGCAATTTGCACCTCTGTTTTTTCTTTTCCATCAATTTTCAGAGAAAAGTCATTTGTGCCACTGTGCAGTAGGATTAGGTTAGGCTTTCTTTCAATCGAAGTCTGGGCATAACTATGCATGTCTCTGATTGTAGCACCATTGAAATTCTTGACAAAAATATTCATCCCTTGAATTCCACACTTTTCCTTTAGTTCCCAGCCATTTATATTTTTTACAAGAGAGTCACCCATAATGACTGCAGTGCGTTTACTTCTTGATTGCGAACGATTTTGCGTTTTGTAGCGGTGTTTAACGTTCCCGGTGTCATTTCCTGACGGCAGCTGCTCGTTTAAGGCATTTGAAGAGGAACTTGGTGTAACAGAATCAGGAGGTATTGTAGATACTGCATCCTCGACTGCATCTTTGTTTACATTTTGATTGCATCTTTTCCTGACGGAGCTGATCGTTGCGACTTCAGGGACCTGTGATGCTTCAGCAGCGTTGACAATACCACTGACATCGCTAACGCTGACATTTGGGGCACTGACCGGTGAAGTTGAGGCTTCCTCGTTGTAATTTATTTCGGTTTGCACTTCAGGATTCACAGCATTTACAGAATTGTTAACCTGTTCACATGAACTTGTTGCAGAATTTAATACGCTTGATTTCATTCGTCTTTGTCTCCTATTATTTGCTTTACGGGTATTTCTATTGTTGTTTGGACTTCTATTGCCATTTGTTGTTTGTATTGTATTCTCGTACACAATAGTTGGACCTTTTTTATTGTCAGCTTGATTGTCCGAGGTATCATGTGATCGACCTTGAAGATTTCCATCATGGCGAAGCTTTGATTGAAGATCAATGTTTTCCAGCATGAGGCGATGGCATTTTTCCCGCTCCTTTGACAGAAGCTGATTCAAGTCAGCAACTGATTTTGATAGCTGACTGGCCGTTTGGAAAATTGTAGTATCAAGCCAAAAAGGTGCCATTGAGTTATCAAAATCGGGACTGGGTGGGTCCCTGTTTATGGTTGCACGTGCACTAGATGCATCAAGTTCTTCTGAGGCTTGTTTGACGCCATGATTTGATTTGAGCGATAAGCTTTTTAGCTTCGATAGTTTTTCTCTAACTGGTTCATTGTCAGCTTCAGTTTCATTCGTAAAATAGGATTCTTTGATATATAATAAATCAGCACGAACCATTTCATCTAGAGCATCTGAAACCATTTCTTTATTTAGGCCATGCAAGGACTCAGCTTCACGGCAGATAAAATCTCTATCAGGACGTTTCTTTTTGCCACGAATAGCTGCAATAATATTAAAGATTTTGTCCATGTCATTTTCAGTACCTTGGTCAGTACCCATTGCTCGTATCGCTAAAGAAAAATCTCAATTCCAGTGAAAAAAGTGAGAGCAGATACTCTCTTCGAATAACAGATTCGAATTTTGCCCGCCAGTTTTTCCCGCTCAAACTTTGCCAAGTTACCGACATAGTTACCGATACCGCAGGCAATTGAAAACAGAACGTTTCTATTTGCCGGCGCTACTGTAAGGGTGGAAGATGGAAGATGGCAGAAAGCAGTCGCAGGCAGTCGCAGGCAGCCTTAAGGCTATATGGAAACCAGGCTTTAAGTTGTTCATCGTTTCTGGAAAGCAACTGAAGTGTCAATTTCGCTAAATTGTACGCGAGGGAAGAGCTGGAACAGGAAGCCGTAACTTTGTGGGCCTACACAGGTGATCAAAACAAAGTCGTGACACAGCATGGACACATTCCGACCCGCAAACTTAGAATGATTGTAAACATTTAATATTTTTCGATCCTAAAAAGCACCTGCTCTAGATTTAGATGTAGTTATCAACGCGTGACCATGACTCCTTCGCGATTCGGTGGAAGATATACGAAATTCATGGAGAATGAGAGACGCACATTGTGACGTCAGAATGTCACAAAACTGATTCGGCTTTTGTCGTTTTTTTCTCGGAAAGGTGCAACTTTAAAGCCTTATAACTTTAAACTAATTTAAACTTTGCAAAAACAACAACTTTGCCATAATACACGCACCAGATGCTAACTTTTTAGTCAATAAAAAAATTATTTTTGGCTGGAGAGGCCCTTTAAATATCAAGACATCAGAACGTTTCTATGCCCTAAAAGCAGAAATGGCTGCACTCCCTTTGGTATGTGTTAGAACACAGGGTTCCCATTCATTGCAGGACATCACATGACAATTGCATCATTGCGCTGCAATTGCATCAGCTTCTGTAAATTGTATTATTCTTAGGGTATATAAGGGGTGGCTTTATAGTTAGGTTCAGTCTTGTCGTAAGCTTTGTCGAACTTAGTGTACCTTGTCGCTAACTTGCAGAATTGTGTTTGCCGTTACATTTTCGCCGTTAGCCGTTAGTAATATGACACTATTTCCACTTCCAATTCAAAACGCAAATCTCAGAACTGTATTTTTGAAATCGAGAAGAACGAACTTTCACATTTTATCGGGGATATAACATTGAATCAATCGAGAAGAACGAAGCCGCCACCCTCTGAGCCGGAGTTTGAAGAATTGAACCAAGTTTCCAGATGAATGAAAAACAATAGGAAATTAAAGACGAAGAAGGGGTGGCACTTTGCACGACTTTCGAATCAAATGATAATCTTCATTAAGGTTTGTGGCGGTGTTGCACTTTGGAAAAATTCCCCCAATTTCCTCGTAAAATAAAAACACAACAAAGTGCAAAAACCGACTGCAGACTATGAAAAAACAGTGTAGCAGGTATCGAGAAAGAGAATTAACGACTATTTGGGCCAAAAACTCGAGATTTAAAAAAGTTATTAAAGGAAAACTGAAGAGCGGTTTTGGGAAAATTTCGTTTTTGCCAACATTCAGGGGGCTGAAAATGTTCTTGAAACAGGATTAACTTCTTGCAAACTGTAAAAAAAACAGTGTAGCAAACTTTGTTCTATCGATTCAACTTTAAATGGTATTTTTACCATTTTTCTGCGAAAGGTTATTAAAGGAAAACAGAAGGGCTGTTTTCACAAATTCCACATTGTTGTCTAAGTTTCGGAGACGTTCATATTAACCGGAATTTTTATTTGATGTGAAAATATGAAAAAACAGTAAAACTATGGTATTTGTGATGTTTAGAAATTAAATCAGTCCTACAGATGTAGTTAGTCAAAAGTTATTAAAGGAAAACTGGAGGGTAGTTTGCGTGCGAATCTTCAGAGCGAATCGTCAGAATCGTCAGGCCTATATAAATCAATGTTGGCCTACTAGTCGCTGTATTTTAAAAGAAATGGTGGGCCACTTTGAATGGCTAATGTAACATTTGCACCACCAGCACTATGCTAAATAGACCAGACGGAAATGGCAGGAAGTACCACTTTTGGGCGAGGAAATTTTGATTACCGGTTTCAAGTTCTTTATCAACTGTTGTAGAGACAAGATTCTGAGCCAGAGATACCGCAATTTAACGCAAGAAGGAAGGTGGCTCGAATGACGTTTTTAACAAAAAATATCTGGTCTAAGCAGTGGAATATGAAGGATAATTTATCTTTCTTGGTAGAAGTACCTTTAAAGTAGAAAAATGAGCTTCAATTAGTCACGTGATGCCAAATTTCCCCCATGTCCTTATATGGATATCTTATTAAAAATGGGCAAAGCCGAATCATCCTGTGACATAGGAAATTCATTTTCGCATGCAATTGACTATCAAAGATTGTTAGTATTAATTGGCCACAAATATTATTACCATGCTCATACAGTTAAGATGAACGTGGAATCTTACTGAGAAAATCAAGAGCTAGAGCTGTAAGTATGAATGATAGGTAGGAACAGCACAAACGAGAAGCAATAAAATACAATTGAATCAAATATGCTAAAAGGAAAATGAAAAAAAGAGAAAAAATGAAGGCAGATCATGAACTTCAAATCATAATCTAGTGTTATATTTTAGTTCACGAAGTTACAATTATGCAAACAGTTTTTTGGTGGTACAAAACTTGTAAATGGCTTTGAAAAAAGCAAACATTTAGTAAACTTTTCGTCTGACACTCTTCAGAGTTTAAAACGTCAGAACATAGATCGAAAACTCTGCGCTAAGAAATATATATAACGCTTACAGCGGCTCTCCCATCGACCACTCAGATTTTCTTTTGCATAGAGAACATTTTCAAGCATTAAAATATCTACGGTCTAATAATGACATCTTTATTACTAAGCCTGATAAAGGGTCAGGAGTGGTTATTTTGAACAAAAAGGACTACATCCAAAAAATGGAGAATATTCTCCTCGACAAAAAAAATTCGAAAAACTGGGTGACGTCGAAACACAGGATAAAACGGCCAAGCTAGAGCGGAAACTTCAAAAACGCTTTTTGGAGCTGGTTAACTCAAAAATGTTTACCAACGAAGTTTATGATAGGATAAGACCCACAGGTTCACAACGTCCACAAATGTATGGCCTCCCTAAAATACACAAGCCGAAAGTTCCACTTAAACCCATTTTGTCTATGATTGGATCAGCACAACACGAATTGGCTAAGTGGCTTTCTGAAGTTTTGGACCCTGTTTTTCAAAAATATTCAAAACATTGTATCAAGGACTCTTTTACGTTCGCTGCGTTCATGCA